ATGATCATCATGAATGTGACAAATCAGAGTAACCACAGCGGAGAAAAAAAGAGTTGGTAGATCTCATTGTCACATCGGAACTTCCTTTGATGCGATTTCAATTGATGAGACTAGACTACAGTAATAATATCAGAATTCGTGACGTCGCCGTTAGATGTGCAGATTTTGCAATAGTTGTTAGCTCATCACTCTTGTAGTCACTTCACGATAGTATCTTTTCTTCTTCATTTTTTATTCTTTTTAATTTTTATTTTATGATATTTATACAAGGAGGGAAGCTAATCGTACCCATAGTCATGAGTCGTCGAGATCGATTGTGCTGCCCAACACAATACCCTTATTTTGTCAACCTACACTTGAACTATCCAAATTGTCCAGTTTAATGGATCATGTGACTCCTGAACATACCTATCACTTTTAACCAAGGTTTTAAAAGACATGAATTGTCGTAATGCAACAAAATCGAATCTCAAGCCTTACAAGTTTAGGTGTGCCCGAGTGAAGCCTAGACGTATTAAGATTTTTTTTCTATTTTTAATATTATTTTATCTATACTAAATTCGTTAATTGTTATTATAATAAGACTACTACTATTTATTTTTTAAATTTATTCAACATCTATTTGATGATCATTATTTTGAGAATACATAAATTTGAATAGTGGTTTTTTTTTTTTTTAGAATGTTACGAGCAAAAATATTTTATTATGTAAATGTGAAAATTATGCCCTGTTTGGTGGCCATTGCTTATCGAAAATAATATTTTGAATAGTAAAATTTTAAATAATGCGTGATTTTATAGTACGAAATTTTTATATTTTACGAGTAAAATATTTTATTATGTAAATGTGTGATTGAAAATGAATATGAGAATTTAAAAAATTTTCATATTTAGGGATCGCCTTTTCCTACATTTTAGAATACCGATTTTAACACACTAATGAAAACCAACTTGTTAGGCTTAGAAACCTTGACGACAATCTTTATAAATTCCATGTATCCAACAAACTAGCTCATAGGTTGGACATTAGGTAATCCAACAAACTAAGCTCCCGTTTGTCTCACTTTAAAATAAGGAAAATGCTACATTAACAGAAAAATTCTAGCAGATTGTTTGACAGAAGAGTGTTGCATTTTACGATTGGATGAAAAATGTGATTGCGTTTTAAACGGTCAAATGACAGAACGCCACGTAGTATTATGTCAACATTTGTGTCAAATCATTATGTCACTATAGCATGATTCTTAAGATAAAACTTTTTAATTTTTATACTAATTTAAATCACATATTTATATAATAAAATAGCACGTAAATATAAAACTTTAACCACGCATTTGCCAGAAAAATCCTTATTTAAAACTCCATTTTTTTAAAACGTCAAATACGGGCTAAATTGAATATGAATAAGAAAGGAATACACATTGAAATTTATCAACTCTATTATCTTATTCTATCGTGTCAAGATATTCTTTTTAACCGCACGTATAATTGAATTCACTGCTTTTTATTTATTCTTTAACTAAAAATTTCGTAAAATTCATCAACTTATAATTTCAAAAAACTCTGTCAAACCGAGAATATTGTTGCGTTGCTAAAATATATAAAATATCTAGAAAAATAATATTTTTGTATAATTTCGATTCATTTTAGATTTATGCATTTCCTATAGTGAACTTTTTATATGATTGCCCAAAAAACATTACACATGCAATGAAATGGCACAGCAGCAAAACCAATTATATTAATAGTCCTATCCATAAATAAACAAATCGGTAGGGTGACATCTCTCCAATGGCGGGCCCAATCTTTGTTGTCGATAACAGTATTAAATTATAAATTATAATTTATTCATCTATTTTGTATGATCTTATCTAGTGAAATATGAGATGCAATCTATACCACTGCTAGTGTCGATTAATCTTCTGTAGGATAGGGTCATGCTCTATAGTTAATTTCGATACCTTGAATTGAACATGATGTAGAAATAAGCAAATTGGATAGGGTCATAACTCGTCAAGGATTGGCCAATCTTTGCGCTTCGAATTGAACATAATCTAATCTACTGTACAAATAAAAAAAATGGGGGTAGGGTCGGGCTCTTCGATGGTCGGGCTCAATCTTTGTTGACGATAACCAAACAATATTAAGAAAAAAAATTATAATTTACTCATCTACTTCGTAGAATTGTATCTAGTCAAATATACGGTACAATCTTTGTAGTCATTTTTGATATGTTACATTGAATTGTGTGTTGGAAATAAAACGGATCGAGGTAATATATATGACACGATATGAAGTATATGATCGCAAGAACAGAGTATTTTTTCAATTGACTAACATGGATAAAACAAATACAATAATCGTACTTACACAATTATTCTATATTTCAATAATACAAATCTTGTGAAAAGAGTAGTATTTATAGGAGTGCATTCCAAACCCTAGAAATACCACAAAAATGGAAATATGATATTTTTCAAATTAAACACGTAGAAAGAAAGAAAAAGTATTTTCTCAAAAATTCAACCTAATTTGGATTTTTAAAAAAGCCAACGTAATGAACATGATCTAATCAAATATACCAATAAACAAATAGGATTGGTTCATAACTCAATCTTTGTTGTCAATAATTGAATAGTATCAATGTGATTTTGGACGACAATATATTTTCGAACAGTGATTTTCTAGAGAACGTGATTAAAAAAATAAGGAATTTGAGTTTACGTGTAATATTATTTTATGAAAAAATGTGTGGTTGAAAATAAATTTCGAAAAACTTTATTTTGAAAACAATGGAGCCCAAATAGGGACTAAATCAAAAAAGTAATATAACATAATTTATTCTGTCGTATCTAATTAAATACAAGGTCGAGGCTTTTGTAGCCAATATGAATATTGTAAATTAAACAATATCTAGTCCACGTTACCAACCATGCTTATAAACACATATAGGCGAATATTCAGATCTGTATTAGACTATCATGTGAGCGCCATCTCCAACCATGAACCTAAACTTAGGTAAATTTTACACCATTTTGCACCAAATTGAAAATCATCTACAATCCATTACACGAAAAGTTGCATCAAGTTAACAATATTTAATCACTCTCTTCATTTTTTTTTCATTCTTAACAATTTATTCATTTGAAAAATTATTTATTTATTTATTTATTTTACAACTATATAAATTACAAAAAAAAAATAATTATGTTAAATTAACTAAAATATTGAATTCATTAATAATTTTAAAAAATGTAGTGCAATCGATAAAAAGACCACAATTAAGAAAATATTAAATCATGTTATAAAATTGTGCAATACATTTCGAATTCGATATCGATATTACGGAGTCGAACTAGTGTTGTAATTTAATTCGCAAAATTTGTATATGCATCTACAAATGATCAATTAATGTATTTCGAAATGCAATGCGAGCCTCTTTATCCTTGATTTGTCTATGACGAGCAATGAATTCTCAAAAGCGATCGTGTTTATTAAATTTTAAAACTTATTGAGTGCTTTTATTTTAATTTATTCCTGAATTATTATTGATTATGCGATTAAAATTTATTACAAATGTACAATAAATAAACTCTAAATTGTTCAACTAATAAGATTTAATAAGAAAAAAATTATTAATTTATTTAGAAAAAATAAAAGAAATTGATTTATCCAATATAAAAAAAAAAATTCGGTTCTTATTCGATTCTTCGGTTCTGGGTCTAGAATCGAGAACCGAACCAAAACATTCGGTTCTCGATTCGGATACCCGTTCGGGTATTTCATTTAAAAAAATTCGCTCGATTTGATTCGATTCGGTTCGGACATTTTGCTCAACCCTAGTACTATAGTAGCCAATATGAATATTGTAAATTAAACAATATTTAGTTCACGTTACCAACCATGCTTATAAACACGTATAGGCGAATATTCAAATCTTTATTAGACTATCATGTGAGCGCCATCTCCAGCCATGAACCAAAACTAAAGGTAAATTTTACACCATTTTGCACCAAATTGAAAATCATCTACAATCCATTACACCAAATTTTGCACCATTTTGCACCAAATTGAAAATCATCTACAATCCATTACACCAAAAGTTGCACCAAATTAACAATATTTAATCATTCTCTTCATTTTTTTTCATTCTTAACAAAAGAAATAATTATGTTAAATTAACGAAAATATTGAATTCATGAATAATTTTAAAAAATGTAGTGCAATCGATAAAAATACCACAATTAAGAAAATATTAAATCGTGTTATTATAAAATAGTACAATACATTTCGAATTCGATAATGATATTATGAAGTTGAACTAGTATTGTAATTTAATTATCAAAATTCGTATATGCATCTACAAATGATCAATTAATGTATTTCGAAATGCAATGCGAGCCTCTTTAACCTTGATTTGTCTATGACGAGCAATGAATTCTCAAAAGCGATCGTGTTTATTAAATTTTAAAACTTATTGAGTGCTTTTATTTTAATTTATTCCTGAATTATTATTGATTATGCGATTAAAATTTATTACAAATGTACATAATAATAATAATATCTAACTTAACTTTCCCAACGTTTGCTAGTTCTCGAAAAATTGTGAGAAATGTTTTGACATGAACCGGAGTTTTGAACACCCTACCATGGTCTCAAGCTGAATCTTCAAGAGGATAACAGGGCCATAAGAATGAATAATAAAAAGGAGGGACAAACAATTATGTTGAATTTGAAGAGAAATGGACATTTTTATTCCTAAATCCCATTAATCTCCTTGATTTTATTAATGTTTTCAACATATAAACATCATATTAACATTATCATCAGCCATCCCCCATTGTCTAAAGCTTTGATAGTATATATTCTATCAAATATCTCTATGATAAACAGTAATCTTAACTTCATATCCAAGAGAAACCATTTAATTGTATGGGATCAAGACCACTTGAACTGTAAGTAAATCCAGGTTTCGGCAGACGGCTTCAGGGGCTTTGGGCTCACATCATGGTGCAGTTTGACGAGTTTTCATCGCTGAACATTGAGTACTCTTCAATGCGTTCACCAGGAGGAGGGTACGGGTAAGAAGGGTAGGGTGGCATGTAGTTGACAGCAGGTGCAGGCCGAGCATACATCATAGGTTGAAACCTTTCGTTACCATTGGCATGTTGTTGGTTCACCATCATCGCTGCCAACTGTTGTTGGTAGTGGTTGTTTGTGGCCATTTGCTCGGGGGCAACACCTTGGAAATTGACAGCACCACCACCACCATTCATGGTTGGAGCAGGTAGGCCTCGGACGGCTGCTGGGTTACCCATCTGGCCCATCGGCATTTGACCCATCTGGCCAATTTGACTCATTGGCATCTGACGCATCTGGCCCATGGGGGCAGTCCTCATCTGGCCCACACTACCACCAGCATTCATAGCTATCATGTTTGGCATGCCTTGAGGCCAATCACTCATTCCACCCCCATGCTTGGCCCCATTAGCATTCATACCGTGACCATTAGCACCACCACCATTGTTACCATTCATCATCTGCCCACCACCACTGCCCAGTGGCTGAACGCCACCATTCTTTCCACCCCCCTGATTTTGGCTACCGACATTGTTGTAACTATTACCACCTTTATTGCCACCATTATTACCACCAACATTAACCATAACCGGCACATTTCCACCCCCACCAATTTTTCCATTTCCTCCATTTCCACCACCATTAGCACCACCCTCCATCAGCAGAGGGTTCTGACTACCCATCATGTTAGGCATCCGTACATCTCCAAGGCCATTGCCCAGCTTCGTCTTATTCACAGGAATATCCTTGATTTCATCATCAAACTCATCATCATCCTCATCATAATCCTCATCCTCATCCACGTCATCGAATTCATCTAACTCGTCATCCGTCATGTCGTCGTCCTCCAAACCATTGAATTTACCAGAATTTGGGTTTTGATCCTTTCCAAGGACAGGCATTTTCAAGTCCTTCATAAACTGAGGGGGCATTTTCAGATCTGGAAACCCTTTCAAATGTTGAAGCTGCTGAAGCGGTTGAAGTTGTGGATTTTGACCTCCCAGTGGACCACCTTTTGGTTGGTTGTTGCCACCCTTTTGAACCTGAATCTGCTGCCCCTTGCTATTCCCACCTTTTCCATTGTCAATTTGCAGATTCTTGAATTGATTATTAAGCTGATTATTATTATTTGCCTTTGGTGCACCCCAAATTTCTGCATGTTTCCCATTCTTGGAAAGTTTCTTGATCAGCGTTTCAGGGTCAACATTTCCAGACACTGTAACCTTTCCCTGCTCTGAATCTATGGTTGTGGTGTAAACCCCTGTCGAAATAAATAAATAAATTGCACGAAATTTAGTCAAATTCAAAGAAACACAAGCTTATTACATACACATAAACATGAACTTATTCACACAAATTCATCTCCCTAGCCATTTCATTTCCGGTTATAATAATGGTGTGTCCTGAGGTGTGAATTAACATATTATAATTATATATAAGACTGTAAAAGAAATGTCCAGAATTAATAATAATAATAAAAAAAATTAAAACTGAGATATGAAATAAAACTATACCATCAATCTTCTGCAAGATTTTCTTCACTTTGTGCTTGCACCCTTCACAGTGTATATTGACTTTAAGAACACAAGTCTGCATAAACAAGCAAAGCCAGAGAATAACACTTGTTAGTTAAAGCTTACAACTTTATTAAACAAAATCAGAAATTAAAAAACAAAGCCTAAAATACAAGAATACAAACAGAAAATACAAGGATTCCCAAGAATAAGTCTAACCAGTTGGATTTTGACTGTAAAATGGCTTTTTCAGAGGAAGAAAAGAAAAGGTTAAAGAAAGAGACAAACAGCAAAGGGAAATGGCATTCAAAGATATTGAGTTTCAAACAAGCAAAGCCCGGTAAAGAAAAAATGAATAGAGCACCTAACCCAACCCCACCCCACCTTTTGCAGAAACATAATTTTCACTCATTGATATACAAATGAACAAAAGCTTAAGTACCTGGATTTTCAAGAACTCTTCTTTACTCATTTTAACCAGTCACAAGGGAACAAACAGAAGCCAACAATAATGCAACGAGATAATTAAAGGGATGTTTCTTAATTCGATCCGAGAGAAACACAATGGGAGTTAAAATTGGAACAACATTAAAAACAGGAAAAATGGATCTTTTCTCCCATTTTCTTTTCTATAACAGAGAAAAAAATTAGAGAGAATTTAGAGGCGGTTGATGAAACAATAAACAAAGTGCAGTGAGTGAGTGACTCTGGTTTCCTCTATTGAGAGAGAGAGAGAGAGAGAAGCTACTGCTCTAAACAAAGTGCAGACTGCACGCTCTCATACTGGTTTTTGAAGCATTATTTATGGGGTATCTTTTGCTTGCTACTGTTGAACTTCGCTATTTTTTTTTTTGGGCTGTGGGATTTTCATTTCTTGGCTTGGCTATATATAGATTTCTTGGCTAGGCTCACCTGGGGGCGAGGGGATATACAGTAGCCATGGTAAATTGAACAAATCTTTCACTACATGAATTTTTATTACCGTCACATTTTACTCATATAATTTTGTGGGTAAATATGACACACAGTCTTCTGCATTTTACTGCAATTAGGAAGCACGTTATCAAATTACAATCACACCCTTTTCCTGTAACTAAATTCACCTCAAAAGTTTTAATTTCTTTCAACTACACCCCTATTGGACGTTTTTGCATAAGCAGATTTTGTTATCCCAAACTGGTTAGTGAAAAATGGTAGTAAATTCAGTATGATCCTTTGTGTTGTTATCCCTATAATGCCCGTTGCATTTTATAATTCTTTTTGTGTTGTTTTTACGTACTGAATTGTTGACTTATCTTATATTTGCTCGTATGAAACAGTAATTGTAACAATGTATAAAACACGGATTTATAGGGATAAAATTATAATCGATAATGATACCTGTAATCTCATAATCACACGTCTATTACATAAGACTAACCAAGTTTCTATATAAGCACAAGTCGATCCCAATTACATTCGTTTTTATTGTTATGAAATTTAAGTTTCTGTCAATAGAAAAAAAATTAATCGTGTCATATAAAGAGAAACTAGCATAAGATATAATATAATCAATAAGACATTTCCTTTCATGCAAACTTTAATTCTTGAAAATTCTTTTACATTCAAAAAGGTTTTTCATTTTTAAAATTTTTGACATTAAAAGTAGTTTCCGACAAATTGGGACGAACGGAAAATGTTGGAGCTTAGACACAACTACCTATCAATTTGTCGTGTGCCGTCTGACATTTGACCCAAAAAGAGTTAGAAACACGACAAAAGAAAATCATTTTAAGGTAAAACGTTATGTGTAAGATAATCTCGAATAATGATTATTTGTCGTAGCTCTTTGAAATCCTTGTGGACCCTACTCGTTTGACTTCCTAATGCGATCAACTTGCACGTACTATATACCTACGGGCAAAATATAACTTTATAGAATGTACAAGTCAAAGAAACCAAATCAATTCTCTCTTGATACATTTATATAAAAATTCGATTTGTACAAATTAAATCCCCTTCTTCAACTCGAGCAATCACATTGGTTCTTCGAGTCATTTTGTGACCAATAATATTTAAATTATAACGAGTATTAACATGAATATTTCATGATGTAATGGTAAAAAAATGTTTCATGATGTAAGTGGCATTAGTAGGAGTGAGAAGTGGGACGAGCTGTTCATTCCACTCGTGAGCCGAGTTGATCAGGCGTGCACATGAAGCGAGCTGCAGGCTAGAGTCAAGCAGCAAAAATGGTTCACATGAATTAGCTCGGGAGCACCTCATGTTTATAACTCAAATATAATAAAAAATTGGCGAGCCACCCAGTGGCGAGACAAGCGAATTGGCTCGTGTGATGGACCGAGTAGAGTCCATGATTAGCGAGTTGAGCGGCTCGACGTGGTCCATTTAACACCACTAGGCATCAGGCCTTCTTTAAGTACTAATTACTTTCATTAAAAGCAAAACAATTAGGTGAAAATAATCAATTATTACATTGTGTGCATAAATGCTCGCGACAAAATCCCTTAATGTTCTTTGTCTTATATTTCCTGCCTTTTTTTTTTCTGGTTATAACTGAAAATGCGCGAGTTTTACACACTAAATTTGGACAGATTCTCTTAACGTTAAATTGGATAGGACCAAACACGAATGACATGTGAAGATCTGACATGTTTAGTTGAATTTAAAAGTAAGTTTGATTCTCCCAACGTTAGACTGTATGGACTGAACACGACTTACATGTGAAGATCTGACATGTTTAGTTGAATTTAAAGGTAAGTTCTGACATCATATTAATTTGTCTACTTGTCCCTTATATTTTTCAAAATTACCTTTTTAATAGCAAAATTTTACATTTATCTAAGCATGACTTGATATCATTTAAATTCTTTCGCATTATTAAATTGAAATTCTCATTTATACGAAAAAGTTAATTGAGTTAGATAAACAGAAAGTCGCATGACCTCAAAATTCTATAACATATTTAAACTTTTACATGAAGTGTTGATTTACATCAAATTGGCGCCAACGAAAACCGTTATTACAACATTTATTTATTTTTACATAGAAAATAATAATTAGTCGTCATTAACTCTAAAATTGTCACAAAGGTAACAAAAGTAAAATAGAAGTTTTCAAATGAGTACATTAAATAAAGGAAAATAATTAATTATTACGGCATTTTTTTAATTGACAAAGAATTTCCTTAAACGAGATTAAATGCTCACGAGAATGTTGTTTCTCTTGCATTCTACTTTACACCTGTATTTGTTCTTTAGCACAACTGAAAATGCATGAATTTGCACGCTAAATTTGAACGGATTCTACTTTTGAACTAAACACGTAAAAATGTTTGACTATATTTAAAATTAATTAATTTTAATTTTAAGATATTTAATCTATCATAAATGATTTATTTATTAACAAAACTTAAATTATTATATGAGTAACCCATAATTTTCAATTCAACCCAACGACTACTTCGTTACATTGTTCATCCTAAAAGAATTCATAGCATGTCGTTTTCGTAAACCTTCTCTCGATTCAAAATAAGTTCGGGTGACGTATAGATTATAAATTTAACCTAATACACGGAGTTTGACAACTATTTGTGCAATTCGTTTGTGTTTAATCACGTGTTAGTCTACAATTATTATAGAGTATAGGCAACATGTGGAAGTAAAGTAACAACCTTTTGTAAGAGTTATTTTTTCTAAGTTCGCAACCTCCTTTTGTATGATAATAGTGTTGTCCTTCTCAAAAGCCTAAACAGTGATGAAATCCTTGTGGGTTTGTCCTTGTGTGTTTTCTCCTAGTTTTAATACTTTTTGAGGCATATATGCATGTTTCTAGATGAGCACTAGACAACACGTTTACAATATATATATTTATATAGCTTGTTATGAATTGATCGTGAGATAATGACAATAATGAAATAATCAAGAACACCAAACTTTATGTGAAAACTCAAAATGGGAAAACACCACAAGAAAAAGAGAAGAATTTCACCATAATCAATAATAAATGTGTTTACAATATCAATATATCAATATTTTCAATTAAAATATAAGTTCTCTAACTCTTAAGATGTGTTGAATGTGTATATGGAGATACAATAATGTGGAATATATATA